TATTTATTTCTTTTTATCCTTAAAATGTTTATTAAATTTATTTTTTACTAGTTTTCTTACATAAATTAGAATGATATTATACTTTCTTTTGTTTATCCTCTTTCTGTCATTAGCTCATCCAACACACTAATCAACTAGTTGATTGTAACTCTTATCTTTTTCATACCTTTTTTTCCTAGGAAATGCTCACATATTAATGATAGCTTATAAATCCTTAGTCTTATAATAAGTGACATTCTAAATTATTTTACATAGATAAAAAAGTTAATAATAGATAAGAGTGAATTTGTTCCCTCTCTAATTTTAATTTTTCTAGTAGTGTTCGCAAATAATATTTACTAAATGGTAGAAAAATTTTGCAGGTAACTTTTCTTACGGATTTTCCTACAAATTTTAATCCGCAGGAAAAATAAAAAAATTTAAAATTTATAAGTTTAATATTTTAAAAAAACTTAAAGTCCCACATCGATTAAAAATAAAACAATTAAAGAATATATAAGTTGTGACAACACTCACCTAACAAGTTGATTTGTATGGTTGAGTGTTAGACTTATAATCTACAACCTTAGAATTTAAAAGATTATGTATCACATGTTGAAGGCATGAAAACAAATCCTTCGGATGAATTCATTGTGAGCATTTGAAGCTGAAGAATTATTGATAGAATTTATAGTAATTTTTTTAAATTTTTTTCGTAAAAAATATTTTTGCAAAATTTCTTGAAAAAAAAATCGCAAGAAACTTTCCTGCAAATTTTAAAATTTGCAAAAATATATTATTCACGAAGGAATTACCTGCAGATAAAATTTCGCAAAAAAATTTGTAGGAACAACTTTTCTTGCAAATTTTTCATAAAAATTCACAAAAAAAGTCGCATGTAATAAGAGAAATTCTAGTAGTGTAAGTATATGTAAGAATGATAGTTTTTTTTATCTATTGAAGAATGAGCACTTAGCAAAAGATTACTCACACTTTGATTCGACTTCCAACATTGTAGTTCTTTTTATAGGGGCACCGAAAAAGATACATTAGAGGAGAGAACATCATTGAGTCAAAGCGCTTTTGCAGGACTTGCTTTTGTGTGTTGCTAAAGGTACAACAAGTGTCACATAGGAGAGAACTCTATGATACAATTGATATTTGCAAGTGTGAGTGTGCATAATACCATATTTGGTTAAGCATTTGTAAAATGTGTTTTGTTCTTAACCATAAAGGTATGACTAGTACATAATCAACCCATAATTTATGCATGCAACAAAATAACAGACTATTATTTTTATTTAAAAGATGTGTGTTGGTAATTAATTGCAAATAAAATAATATATCCATACATTCCACGAAATCAATACATAAGGCATAACACCCATATACATAACACTTACGACTTGTGTGAGTAAGTTTCTTACAAAGCACTTATAGGAGAGAAAAATATGAAAGCAAAATGAAAGGAGTTTCTCCATAAGTTTAAATTAGCTTACTCATAAGCTAATTAGTAGAAGCTATCTTTTATTGACTTTTCCAAAATCTTATTTTAACTTATGCATAAGCTATTTTTGATTTATGGAGAAGCTTATATTCCTTTTTCTTCCTACTTTTCTCTCTTAAAAGTGGTTATAGAGAAAGTTATCTAAACATGTCCTAAGGGTCTTAGAATGTGGGTTTAGACCTAATTCAACCCTGCAAAATCGGCTTGTATGATGAGGGTTTTCTTTTCACTTATATACTATTTGTTTGTCCTTTCTCTAATCTTTTGGAACTTGAGTTTTTCCCAATACATTCCCTCAAGTCTAACACTAGTAGACTTGGTGTATGGATAAATGGTGAGTAACTATTTTTAATGATTAGGACAAACTAGACTTTAGTTTTTTCCAATACACCCCTTCACCACTAGTGCAAAAATTAGATTTTAAATCAGAGTTTTAAGATCGGTTACAAAGTAACCGATCTTAAAAGTGACGCAGTGGCAATTTTGTAAATAACATAACACTTTTAAGATTGGTTAAAATTTAACCGATCTTAAAAGTACTTTTAAGATCGGTTATTTTATGACCGATCTTAAAAGTAGCACTTTTAAGATCGGTATTTAAGAACTGATCTTAAAAGTGCTACTTTTAAAATCGGTTATTTCAGAACCGATTTTGTATGTAGTATACAAAATCGGTTCTTAAATAACCAATTTTAAAAGTATCGTCAGAAATCTTTTATATTCCCCTCCATTCTCATTCTCTTTAATCTTTCCCTCTATTCCTTTTTTACTCTCTAACGCTCTCATTTTCTATAGTCTCCAATAAAGTAAATTTCGTTGTCGTTTTCGTTTTCATTTTCGTCTTCTCATGTTCTTCTTGTGTCTCTTTTGATTTTCTCATGCTTTTCTCGTCTCTATTTTCGTTGTAGGTTCAGTTTGTGAAATTTCGAACCTGAAACGGGCCGTTCTGAAAGGAGAACGGGTCGTTCTCCATGGAGAACGGGTCGTGCTTCTCCATGGAGAACGACCCGTTCTGCAAGTTAACTAGCCTGGAACGGCCCGTTCCAGTTTTGGAACGGCCCGTTCCAGTTTAATTTTTTTTCACCGCCCGGACTTTTAAGATCGATTATAAAGCAACCGATCTTAAAAGTTAACTTTTAAAATCGGTTGTTTAACCGATTTTAAAAGTCTAACTTTATAAATCGGCTCTTTCAAAATCGGTTACGGAACTGATTTTAAAAGTTAAAAATAACCGATTTTAAAAGTCTTTTTTCTACTAGTGCACGCAACACTTTTAGGCTTGATACATAGATAAATTTGGTGGGTGACCCTTTTAAAGTGAGTCTAGGATATTTGTGATACCATCTTAGTATGTGAGTTTAGGCCTAATTCAACCTTACAAAAATGAGACAAAGATCATTGGATCCTTGTGTATAAAAAGTAGGAGTGGCAATGAATCCATTTATTCATCATTCATCATCCATTCAATTCATCAAGTAAATTTATTCAATTCATCAATTACAATAAAAATAAAAATAAATTGAATTCAATCCATTCATTGAGTTTTATGGATGGTTACTGATTCATCCATTACTTTTTCAAAATCCATTGGATTAATATGAGATATTTATTGGATTGAGATTTAAAAGACTATTTTGACATAAAAATAATCTTATGAATTTTAAAAGACTATATAAGAATGAAATGACTTATAAAGAAAAAAGTGAAAAAATATTTCAAAAAATATTATTTAATTTTTAAAACATTACTTTTATGGATGGATTGAATATCCATCCATGAAAAATTGTTGATGGATGGATTGTATGCCTTTTTTTTTATTACTTTAAATGGATTGAATTTTATGTAAATTTTTTAATAAATCTAAATAAATTAATGAATTATTTTTATCCGATCTATTATGATCCACCTTAAAAAATTATCCAATCTATTTATTTGTCACCTCTATTAAAAATTTATTGGACGGTCAATAAAAAATGTCATTAGACATCGTGAATTTCTTTATGATAGTTCATTAAAAACATCTATTTTATCAAGACTCTTGGAATAAAGTATTTAGACAAACTGACTCAATTTGTTATCATCAAAACTTTATGAAAATAGACTTTTATGTCTTTGGTTCTAACATTGTTTCATATGTAGTTTTATATTTATTTCTTTTTATCCTTAAAATGTTTATTAAATTTATTTTTTACTAGTTTTCTTACATAAATTAGAATGATATTATACTTTCTTTTGTTTATCCTCTTTCTGTCATTAGCTCATCCAACACACTAATCAACTAGTTGATTGTAACTCTTATCTTTTTCATACCTTTTTTTCCTAGGAAATGCTCACATATTAATGATAGCTTATAAATCCTTAGTCTTATAATAAGTGACATTCTAAATTATTTTACATAGATAAAAAAGTTAATAATAGATAAGAGTGAATATTGATTTTACAAAATTAACCTTATAAATAATTTTTTTATAGAAATAATACAACATAAAAACATCTCTCTATATAATCAATGGTATAAATGGAAAGGAGATAATTAATACTATATTGAAAAACTAACAATAAGATTCTTATTTTGTGACTTATTTTTTCTTCTAAAATAACACTTATTATGAGACAAATGAAATACTACATTATTCTTTTTTAATATAGTATACAAATAAAGAATCTTAATCTATTAAGAAAACAAAGAAACTTAATCTTTTTTACTTAAAAGAAGAATTTAAAATAATCATATTTGTGGTTGCATATGTCGTTTATATACTTATGAGTATAGTAGGCTAGTAGCATGATATCATAATAATTATTTTATTAAGGAATCAGCCCATAATAATGAATTGAAATGAATTAGTTTCCTTAATCTTCCTTATATGCAAAAGAAGACTACATTGAGCAGTTAAGGTTAAATAAGAGTGCACTTGTAAATTCATAAAAAAATAATTAAATACAATGTCTAATATTATTATTGAATTATAAAAAATTGTCTAATATTAAAATTAATTTTTAATTATTAAATATTATTTAAAAAAATTCAATTATAAAATATTTAAAAATAGACTAATATTTATTTTTTTTAATAATTTTTAGACAATAAATAAAGTTTAAAATTAAATATTAATTTCCTGAATAAATATTTAAAAATGAAATGTTGCTTATGTGAAAATTGAAGTATTATATCCAAACAAAATAGTTTAAATCCAAAATTTTGAAATTACTCCATCTAAATAAAATATTTAAACAATAAAAGAATTTCAATTAAAAGTAAAGAATTTTAAATTATCTAAAATTTTAAAATTCCTTACCCAGACACAAACTTACATATTTTGAAGAGTGCGCGAGCGTTTTAGTTTTTTTACTACACAATTTTGAGTTGTTTTCCGTAAGGTAAGAAGTAAGAATAAAAATGTAAACTTATTGAATTTAAGAGAAGGGTAATTATGACTTCTGAGCCATTTAGAAGGTCGAGTCTACTACACTAGTAACAGCATAGACGACGTCGTATCACAAAACCGAAAGAAGTTCATATACCTGACTCGCGGTGCTCGTGTAACGGATCGTTACTTGCGAATATTGAAGAATCTCCATCATCGCAAGAGCACAAAGGCTTCTTCTTGTTCATCACTGCAGAAACTAAAGAGGTCAATTAACTTTGTATTTTAATTTTTGTGAACACCAATCCTTCGCATTTCTTATGCTTTGAGTTTGGGGTTTTCGCATCATTCTTTTCGTATTCCGTTGCATCCTCGCCGATTAGCCATAGCTTTCTAATATAAATGAAATCAGAGAACGAAACTTGATGCTTGTGAATGTTTCTTGTCTCTGATTCTTTTGTTCTTTTATGTCACGTTTTGCGAAATTATAGTCGGTTGATTATGCGTGATTTAGCAAGTGTGTTATTATTATTATTATTATTATTTTCTCAAGGATTGGAATGATTTAGATTATGTATTAGGTCATTGTGTGTTCAATTTTGTGTCAGAATGAATTGCGTTCTTTTTTGTTTATATAAATGTTGGAGGAATTATCGCATGTGTTAAATTGTGTGAGTAATACGTGCATCTCTTGTGTAATGCAGCTGAGCGTAGCAGATATGGAATGTGTGGTTCAGGGAATTATAGAGACTCAGGTGAGGTTCTGTTTTCTTTGAAATGTTAATTGCTCTTTCTTTGAACTATATGGGAGATGTTATGGAATTAAATTGATTTGGCTTAGCGTTCGTGTTCGTGTTGGTCTCTTGCTGTTTGAAGTTTTAGATGCTGCTCTTATAGTTCATCGTGCTCCATGTTAATGGCGATGCCATAATCTCCATTTTCCCTTTTGTTTTAAGAATGCTGGCCATGATTTCTCATGTGTTGCTTGCGTTTAGTATTTGAGTTCTACCCGTGAAAGGTAGCTTAACGTTCTAGTAATCCAAATGGCGTGGCACTAAGGCAAAATATTGCGTAG